GACCAGAAATGAAATACCCAGCTTTTGCAAACATGCTCTAACAGGTATTGGACCCATCATCAGGAGCAGCCCAAGTGTTGGGCTTCCTGTGAGACAAGGACTAGAAGACTTCAGGTCCTCAGTTCTGCAGAAGTCCAAGTAGGTTGGTCTGCCAAGGCTCAAACACATCTCAAAGCTGATGTGAGAAGTGAGGTGGACTAACCCAGCTCCTCTGGAGCTTTCTGGTGGAAAGAACAAGTCATTTCCAAATGAAGTTTTGTACCAATTTTCTTAGTCCTATCTAAACCCAAGTGAGGAAGGAGAGTGAACTAACCATCCAGTGAAACAGAAGGCCCCCTAATCCCAGAGTCAAAATGGTAGAAATCCAGTGGCCAGATGTTTGGTTATCATCTCCCTTTAAGAGATGGGTAACTGATGGTAAGAGAGGGTCAGAGTGAGTCAACACAACAGTAAGAAGAAAGGCAAAGGTGAAAGGTGCAGGGAAATGAAAAGGACTGGAAGAGAGAAATGAGGAGTGGGGCAAGGGACAGAGCTGAAGGAATGGCCCTTGCTGCAGTAGGGCAGTGCAATAATAAATACCTCTGAATCCCCAGAGTGCAGTCATGCAGTGTAGAGTGCCGTTCTGAAGAGGCCTGCATTTCTCTCCTCCTCCTCCTAGTAGGAGGAAGTAGTGATTTTATCACAAGAGCGAGGTAAATGATGGAGTGGCACATCCATGCAGTGATATAGTGAGGAAATGAAGGCACACAGCCCCGGAGGCAGGCTGGGGATGGCCCTTAGTTCCCTGTCTCTCTGTGTTCCTCTGGCTCTGGGACTCGGAGAACACACAGCCCATCTGATTTAATAAAGGCAGGAAGCAAACAGGGACGGAGCCAGGAGAGACTGCAGATAGGGGTTGAAGAAGGGTCAAACTCATTAGTCATATGATGGGATGTAGTGTGTGGGGAGGGGGAGAAGCTTTGAGGGTTAAGAGGAGTAGAAATGGCTGCAGCACTCAAAGAAAAGTGATATTAACACAGCTGAACTGACTGCTGTGCTGCAGTGTGGCTATTAGGGGTAAGGACAGCATCCTGGCCTCCATCCTTTCTGTCTTCTCACTTTGGGTCATGTTTTCATAGTTTCATTTATTGCGTTCTTTTTCAGTATTACTAAGAGATGGCTATGTTTAGTGTTTGCAGCACACAGGGACTTAAAACAGGGGTCTCTGCAGGGTTGTTGCTGCTTCAGGGGCCAAAGATCTGTCCTTCTTCCAAAACTGGTGCTTCCTCCTAGTTGTAGCAGTGGCTAAGCATTAGCTTCTTAAACTGAGTATCCCTCATTCAGCAAGACTTGAAATGAACCTTTCACTCACATGCAGAAAGTCCTTCAGAAGGTACTTGTTGACCAGGGCAAGTCAGTTAATACCCAGTAAGAGGGTACCTCCCTTAATGCCTATGCAGCAGAGAGCTGAAGAATCATAGAATCATCACAGAATCCAGCCTGGTTTGGGTTGGAAGGGACCTGAAAGCTCCTCCAGCTCCAACCCCTGCCACAGGCAGGGACACCTTCCACTAGAGCAGCTTGCTCCAAGCCCCTGTGTCCAGCCTGGCCTTGAACACTGGCAGGGATGGGGCAGCCACAGCTTCTCTGGGCACCCTGTGCCAGCGCCTCAGCACCCTCACAGGGAAGAGCTTCATAGTGGAGAATGATCACAAATACACGTCACTGCTGTTGTTAATGACCTTTCTGAATATATATTCATTAGATGCACGTTAATATTTTAAAAAGTGATTTCTGTTGTTCTGCTCATTCCAGGAAGAAGTTCAGGAGTTCCAGGTGCTGTGTTGCAATGCAGGACAAACTTCGCTCGTGGCAACAAATCTGTTTATTTCTAATGTTGCCCTTTTTTGCTTGAAACCAAGCTTTCCTTGCCCCTTAAATTATAGGCATCAGGCCCGAAAGCAGCCAGCACAGATCTGAACTTTCCCTCAGAGATGTTTATTGAAGTTCAGGGGGGTTTTATCATTCCCTTTTTCTTGCTGTGAAAGGAAATCCTAAAATAGCACAGTCAAAACTTTTCTCTCAGCATGTTTCTGCTTCAGGAGGGAGCTACAGGCTTTGTGTCAGGCAAGGGGGAAAGATGCAGTTTGTAAGTGAAAACATTTTCCTTATCTTCCTCCTTCCAGATTCCAAAGTTTGGAAGATACCTGCAAAATCCAACATCTTACATACAACTGGAGCAGGGCGCACGCCCTGAAGGCTCCATTTCTTTCCTCAGTTCAATAAGTACATTTAATTTGTCAAAAACTCAGCCTGGATGAAACATTTTAAACTCACCAGTGCTAAAGATAATCTTACATTCTTCAGTGCCTCCTGCATCACTATTGTCTCCAATAAATGGGCTGATGCATAAGAAGGATGCGGGTGTTGGGTGATGCTGGATTAGTAAAGCTATAGAGATTGACACCATTGGAATAACTCATCCTGAGTTTATAACAGCATCTGTAGTTTAATGTGGTACCTTTTGTAGAGTCTTCTCTCAGGGCTACCTCAGCAGAGGTAGAAAGTGCTTTCTGTGGACCTTTCAGGAGCTGGAAAACTCACATCAGGCTTCAAGCGCTGGCTCTGCCTAGAGAAGGGTACAGGTGGGACTGACAGGATATATATTAGGCTGACTAATAGGTGAGTAATTCATACTTAAGCAATGGTTACAAGTGCTAGTGATAAATGGTGAATTAATGCTTATTAGGTACACTGAACGGTCCAGAACTGTGGATGGAATTCTGGGAATGCAGGTATTATCAATTGATGGATTTGTTATAATCTCATGACTATAGCTATGGGTGTTTGAAATGCAACATTCGGAATAGATTTTGTTGCTTGTTTGGCATGGTGTGTATTCAAATACACCAAAGGTATCAAAATAACATGCCTGCAGTTGCAGCAGCGATGGCGTAGCTATGGATATAGGTTCTGGCTTTCTCCATGCTCCAATGTCTGGCTCCTACCTCAGGTAGGAAGCCTATAGAGTTAGGATTATGACAGTGTGGAGCAAACACTAAGCCTGGTTTGCTTTGGGTACCATGATGGTTTGTCATAGAATCATAGAACAGTTTGGGTTGGAAAGGACCTTAAGATCATCCAGTTCCAACCCCCTGCCATGGGCAGAGACGCCTCACACTAAACCATGGCACCCAAGGCCTCGTCCAGCCTGGTCTTGAACACTGCCAGAGATGGAGCATTCACAACCTCCCTGTCATCCTGATGCTTGTGATGTACAGGCCAAATAGCCATAAACCATTACACCATTTAGCATGTTTCTTCCTTATCCTCCTGTAGTCTGCTGCGTTTACCTCAGTTTTCCTCTGTTGACAGCAGCAAAACCATATCAGTCTCTTCATGTTGTTTTAATATATTGTTATTTTACTTCCACTTTGGTAAGGCACCTGCAGCGCTCTGGGAACAGACACAGCTCCACTGAACAGGAATGATTTGTGCTGCACACTGTCTCCTCTGTTGTAATTAGAGTTTTCTCGCTTCCTCCTTCAACCCTCTGGACTCATGTGTCCTCTTTGCTGCCTTCACTAAGTCAGGCAAACACGTTTCTTGGAAGGTCAGTGTAACCTGTAGGAAATTCCTTCTGTCTCTGAGCTGGCTCATTCATCACTAGTCATAACCATTCTGGAATGTGAACTCATAGTCTGTTATCTGGCTACCGCTAGTGATGATGCCTGGAGACGACAGCTTGGTTTTCAAAAGCTGGGTTGACCCTGAGGGGTGAGGAAAACTTGTTTTGACAGAGCAAACATGACATGGAAGCAGTGCAAGTGCCAATATGTGCAGGAACAAGGTGTTATTTTCTCAAGGTGGATTTTTTTTTCCCCCAACCTGGGAAAAACACACTAATATATGGGGAACAAAATAGTCTGTGGGTTTTTTCCTTCCCCACAAATGCAGTTAAAGCAGAAAGGCTCTCTTGTCTGTATTTTGACTGGGAGAAAAAGGATGTAACAGGTTCATCTGTTAACAGAGCATGGAATCATAGAATAGGGTTGGAAAGGATCTTAAGATCATCTAGTTCCACCCCCCTGCAATGGGCAGGGACACCTCACACTAAACCATGCCACCCAAGGCTCTGTCCAACCTGGCCTTGAACACTGCCAGGGATGGAGCATTCACAGCTTCCTTGGGCAACCCATTCCAGTGCCTCAGCACCCTTACAGTAAATAATTTCCTCCTTTTATCCAATCTAAGCTTCCCCTGTTTAAGTTTGAACCTGTTGCCCTTTGTCCTGTCACTACAGACCCTAATGAAGAGTCCCTCCCCAGCATCCCTATAGGCCCCCTTCAGATACCGGAAGGCTGCTCTGAGGTCTCCACAAAGCCTTTTCTTCTCCAGGCTGAACAGCCCCAACTTCCTCAGCCTGTCTTCATACAGGAGGTGCTCCAGTCCCCTGATCGTCCTCGTGGCCTCCTGTGGACTTGTTCCAACAGTTCCATGTCCTTTTTACATTGAGGACACACGAACTGCACACATGTATGTCTTCCTCTCATACAGCTGTCCTGGAATGGCGGTGGACTGCGTGAATGGTGCAGTGGTTAATGAGTGACTGGTCCTGAGACATAGCTGGTGTTCTGCCCCGCTACTCGGTTCCCCTTCCCCACTTGTCCATTGGGAATATGATTTCCCAGTACGATATCTCATGCAGGGAGCCTTCTGTCCTGGGTGCTGCTTCTTACTCTACAGTGCTACACAGAATGACAGCAATCTCAGCTCTTCACCCTGGTGGCATTAGTGTTCCTACATGTTCTGCTTCCCTCAAAGCCACAACAAAGCAGGTGATGGTGTATATTTTAAGATGTCAGGCTGACATCGTGGCATTAATATCAGTTAAGCCAAACGTTGCCCCTTAATTCACTTTGCTTTCTGCTCTCTTAGTGTCTTGCATTCCTCGTTCATGGTGCTCAAAGTCATGTGGCTCCTACTGAGTTTCCATATGTTCTAAATTTGAACAGCCAGATGCGTCTCCCTTCGCTTGTGCATGGTCTGTCCTGTGCCTGGGAGCCGAGACTGCCACCGAGCGTGTCAGAAAGAAACGTCTCTCCTGCTAGAGCCACGGTGCGGTACCTTTCTGCTGGGAGTGCTTCTCTATGGGAACCAGGATTGACACTGGGCTGTGCAGGAAGAAGCAAAATGCTGAGGCAAAGCACCCCACAGGTAAGAATAACGTATTTGTTTCTTTGTGCTTCACGCACTCGGTGGACCTAGATGGTAGTCTAAAGTATGAATCATCAAAAAAGATCTGCAGTTGTTTTAGCAGCAGCTTAGGTCTTACAGAAATCCATGTTTAACAACAGAACATACTTAGAGAAGCAGGCAAGTTAGATGTAGATAGAGCAGTCCCTTCCGTAGCCCCTCTAAGCTACTACAGAAGTCTAAGGACACGTTTCATTGCTTCAGTGTGAAGTTGAAAACCGCTTGCTAAAGACTTAACAACATGCTGGGACTGTGATAAGTTACAATGGTTTATGTTTTAATACTGACAACTCGCTTCCTTTTCATGCTAGAACCAACAGTGACCTCCAAGTGGTGTCAAGGGGAGAAGCTGCATCTTTTTAGGATTGGTGGGAGAGGAGCAGTGGGAAAGTAGAGTCATGGGCAGTCCCATGCAGGATGCTCCTCTGTGTAACTCGGCAGTGTCCTCCAAGGTTAATTCCACTGCACAGCTGCACTGCTTGGGGCGATAAGGATGCATGAAATGAAAAGGGATTTCCCTCTTTGGGAATCAAATTAGAGCAGTCCAGATCAGGCCCGTGCTTTTATCTCTTTCTCACCCTAACAGGAAGTTTAGACACAAGTCCCCAGAGGTCCTTTTCTCATCAGAAACATCTGCAAGGGACTGAAGGAAAGGGGTGTAGGGACAGTGCTAATCGCCTTACTGTTAACAGTTGAGAAGATAGAAATGAAGTAGTGATATCTAATGAGAAAAACGAGGCGGTTAAACACGCAGACACTAGAAATTGCTCAGAGTAATCCCCAGCATTAATGGCAGCATCGTTCCTAGGGAGGGGACCTGCCACCAGTAGCACTGTCATTGCAGTAGTCCATCTCTCCAGCACAAGGGAGACCCTGAATCTTTGACCTCTATGCAAAGACCCCGAAATAAGGAAGGAAAAGAAAGAGTACAGCTGAAACCAAACATATTTCTCTTGCAGAGTTTACTGTCTGAGCACGGGTCAGATGCCGTGTGTTCAAGAAAGTCTTTTGATTCAGTCTTATTCCATCGAGAAGGAGTAAAAATAGCTCCCTTGGAAGCTGAAAACACAATGGCTGGTGAGTTACTGGGTAGGATTTTTCATCCCAGGCCTAATTCCCGATAGAAACGAATGAACGTTGATGTGTAACTTGAGTGAAAGCAGTTGGTGGTCTCAGTCCAATTCTAATTAGATCCAAATTCCCAACATTAGAAAATAGGCAGTGACCTGGCTACTGTTGTCAGTGGAGTTGTAGCAGTTGATGGGGAATGAACTCCCCTGCTGCAGAACTGAATTACTGCTTTTTAAGCCGGGCCATGAGGCTTTAGCTTCCTGGAGAATTCTGCTTCTGTCATACCAACAAAGCAGCTGTACAGCATTCCTTGTACTGGCATATCACTTCTTGATGTTTGCTGGCATCAAGACCTGTAAGACTTTGTTCTTTTCCCCATATCAGACCTATAAAACCCTCCAGGGACTATCTGTACAACTGTCTGGTAGCTGATGTAGCAGAACCTCGCTCCAGTAAGTGGCATAAAAAGTAGCAGTGATGAGGTACCTCTCTCGTGTTTTTTTCTGTGAGCACTAAAACCACCTTTTAAAATTGGTTCTGCTGAAGATCACTTGCGTATGGCCAGCGCTATAGAAACCTCTAATGCTTTTTGCAACAATAATATCTTCATTGGCTATGCAGCTAAATTGCAAAGAGTAGAAATCCAGATGTTTGTCTGCAAGAGAGACCATATCAAAGCATTATTTACCTTACAACTCAGAGCAGAGATGCTCGGACAGCAGCGCGTTTATCACAGCTTTGGCATTAGTCCCACAAACCCAATAAAGCAAATTCATCACTGCTAAAACTCCATTGTTTTAGTGGAGTTGCACAAGAAGAGATGTTGCCCAGCATGGTCTTGCCCCTCTTGTTGGAAAGGGTGGAAAAAGATTTTGTCTCCTTTGATACCATCACAGCTGGTCTAATCTCAACTGGCACACATGAACAATTATCAGCTTTTCAAACCCAATACATCTAAACCAAGACAGTAATCCTGCAGTTGCCAAGTGACATCCTTAGATCATTTCCACAGTCTTTTGTTGTCTCTTTTTGGCCTGAATTCCTTGGGTCTCATTGATGTTGCTCTCTGTGCATCCCGTCATTTATTCTGTTCGACAGCCAGCGTCATACACTGAGAGATCCAGCAAAGAAAGGCAGAGGTCAGACTTGTGACATCTTTTGAGCTATGTATGTTTATGTAACCCAGCAGGGTTCATTTCCATCAAAGATGGAAATAGCATGTATCACTGCTGCTGGGAGTTCCGATGGGAGCATGGCTGAAAGGGTTGGGAAGAACTGTTGAGGAGGCAGCTCTCTGCTGTGTCTTGTCTCTCTGGTTTCTTATGGGGGCCCATCCGATTTATGTATTGCTTGTTAGAAGCATATCTGCTAAATAAATAATGTGGGAAAGGAAGAGTGAAAACCTTCAGCAACCCAGTGAGAAGAGCTAATACTTCCCAGTGAGCATTATGGTAGCTCTTCAGTGATTGCAGCTGCAGAGGGAAAGGAGGAAAAGCAGTGAGAGCATGTTGGGCACACACTGGAAAACTCAGGGATTTGTTGGGCTTTGTATGCGTGTGGAAGAACTTTAAAAGCTTGGTCCTGCTTTTCTTCCCAGACCTGGCAGCTCTTTGATGCAGAGCCATGGCAGAGGGACCTTTCTTGGCTTCCAGATGAGAGCAAATTGTTCTTTTCCTCTCCTAGCTCCTTAGTTTTATGAGCAAAGCACAGCCTCGGCTCTGCCCATGGGAGCTGGTGCTTGTCCCTTGGGGAAGCGTGGCCAAGGTGGACTTGTGACTAGGAGCAGCAGCGACAGTTCTCTTTCTCTTGGCATTTTATTATTGGAACTTTCTGGCCCTTTCTCTGCAAGCGTTACTCCAGAAGCTTTTGTGGCCTGTGATGTGCAGGAGGTCAGGTTAACTGAGATAATTGTCCCCCTGAGTTCTTAAGTTAAGATCTGGTAATGACTAGGTGGTTATTACCTGCTTCTGATTTGGCTAAGACCAGTGAGGTGCCTCCTGATCTCAATCCTGATTTCCATGCGCATGCTATGACACTTTCAATTAAATACACGTGCTGGAAACCAAGATGAAACTTTGATTTATGGAGGTGTTAGGAATGTGTTTTGTGAATGTTTGAAATGAGCTTTGAGACCTGTGTGTAGAAGCTGCCAAATTTATTCAGCAAACCAAAACCCCCACAATGAATAACTCTAAAACATAGATACTTTTGATATTAATCTTGTATTCTTCTTGTTAGTATCAGCAGGAACACGCGTCCATGTGTGCTACCATCGTGGGAAACCAACACCACCAGCAAAACTGGACACAAACAATTAATTCCCTGGATTTTGCTGCTCCTTCTCAGGGCCATAAGTGGGAGAGGAAGCTGGAGCTTGTCTTTGAAGACAAGAATTCACAGGTGACTGAAATACTGCTTCCTTATTTATTTAGCTAGTTGGGTACTTGAGGTTTGCTGTCTGCACTCCTGATCTAGTCAGACTCCAGCACGAGGTAATGGTCTCTGTGTGAAGTCAGGTCAGAACGCGTTCTGTCTACCAGAACCTCCCTTGCAGATAGTAAATCACTGTCCCAAACAGGTTGAAGACAGCTTGGTTAGATAACAGCTCCTTGCAGTAGATGGTAACCCTCAGTCCCTACCACGATGAAGTCTGGCTGCTGAGTAAACATTCAGGGAAACATTTTTCTTGTCCTACAGAGCTTGGAATCCCAAGAGGCAAGAGGCAAAGGGGGAGTCTGAAGCAAAACAGAAGCTAAGTTGCTCAGCCAACCGAGTTCATCAAGCCTGTGGTGGAGCTTGGACCTGAATGCACTGGCTTCCAGTGAAGTGTCTTAATGTCTAGGTACAGTATTGCTCTTACTGATTATTTCTTCATTCCAGCAGATCTGGGGAGACCTGAGTGCAGCTCTGATTTAAGGTCACTCAGGTAAATAGGTATGATGGCCTTGCATGGATATAAAAGGCAAGTCTATCAGGAGAAAGGGTTGAAGTGAAACAGCTTTGACATGAGCAGGAGATGAGCAGGAAAGCAGGACCCATTTCATACACAGAACAACTCTAGATGGGTCCCTGGCATTAGCTGGGCTGTTTTCACAGCATTTCACCTGGCCCAAGAGCCCTGCTGCTCTTTCATAAACATTCTCCTTCATTCCAAAGTGATTCTAAAAACTATGAAAACCTCTTTTTGGTGTGGAACTATTTCTCTGAGCACATACAGTGGTCAGAGAGCTGATTAAGACAGCCTGAGCATTCAGTTACACAGCCATGGCTGCTTTCCTGCGACTGGAATTAAGAATCCAGATGATGTGTTCAAGATTTATGGTTTCCACTGGGCTTTATGCTGCTGATGTTCATTGTGCTTCACACAACATATTACAGCCCATTATGAACTCTGTCAGGAGAAGAGAAAATGAAGCCATTGTCTCCTGGAAAACCCTGTCTATGCAGTCACCCTTCAGTGGAAGACGTGATGTGTAAATATTCCAGTGTGTGATGTGTAGCTGGAGGCTATTGAGGCTGGTTTGGGGGAAAGGAGGAGGGACTTGGGGTGTGCCAGTAAGAGAAGGAGAAGATGTAATAAAGTTGGAGGTTACTCACAAACCCAGGCCTTGGCCTGTAACTGAAGCAGGATTGTGAACAGACATAGGATGGTTCTCTTCCAGACCCCTGAATCTCTTGTGCAGCTGGGTCATTCAGAGGGAGATTTTGCAAGGTCAGAGACTGATTCCTGTTTTTTGTGTCTCTTTGAATACTTAAATGGGCCACAAAATGTACAGAGGGCTCCATTTGCCCCCATGGTTACAATGCCCGGGTCGTTTGCTCACTGTATGCATCAGGGTGGAATTTGGTCTTGCTGTCATGCTCTTCATGATGAGATAGGCAGAATGTCATCCCTGCAACAGCACATGAGGAAGTGGAGTGAAGCTGCACCAGGGGAAGTTCAGATGGGGCAGCAGGAAAAGGCTCTTCATTGGGAGAGGGTGGTGACAGGAGCAGGCTCCCCAGGGAAGTGGTCATGGCATCAGGCCTGTCAGAGTTCAAGGAGCATCTGAATGAGGCTCTTAGTCATATGGTTTAGTGTTAGGTAGTCCTGCAAGAAGCAGGGAGCTGGACTCAATGATCTTTGTGTGTCTCTTCCAACTTGAGATTGAGTCTATGCTAAGAATAGCATCTTCAGTTGAGCTCCACTCTTTGAATGCCCATGGTAAGCTTGGAAGTACCCTCAAAATGTATATCTGGAATAAAGGCAGAGCAGATTTACTATAGGTGAGCTTCATGTAATAATGGATTTGTTGAAGTAAATCTCATTCATCCTGGTGTTGTGTGGTTTGTTTCTGTGAACAGTGGATGAGAAGCAGAACGAGAGCTTTGTTCTTGGTTTCACCACTGACTGGCTGTGTGTGACAAGGGGCAAGTCACTTCCTTTTTCTCTAGGTAGTGACTGTTGAAGTCATAAATCTCAAGAGACTCCTCTACCACTGAGGAGTCCTCCCCTGAGTTAGTGTCCCAGGTACTACCGAAACATAGAGGTGAACTTCTGAGGAACACCTGTTCTTCTTTCTCTGCTCTAAACTGTAAACCAAACCTGTGTCACTTTTATGGCAATTTGATCACGAATTGGGATTTTGGAATATGTTACTGTCTTTCAGTTAAGACTGTAAAATCCCTGTGGTTTACAACTGCTGCTGTCAACCCTACCTTTGTCTCATTGACCACCAATTGATCACCAGTCTTGATTTGCAAGACTCTTCAGTGCAGCTCCTCAGAGTCCCAATGGAACACGTTGTGTGGCCTCACTGCCACTGGTGCTCCTGAAAGCACAGTTGAGGGAGCTTTGGGAGTAGAAGCTCCCAATCACTGGATGTGTGTGTTGGCAAGCAAGGACAGAGAGGAAAACCGGACCAAAATCTCCTCACCTGGGTCTTTGTTGTCCAGGCAAAGAACATGAACAATGCACCCATCCCTTGCCACCATGGAGTTTTTCCTATGTGTCTCAGGCTTTGTCATGATGGGATGGGTCACTGTGGTTGTGTGGGAATCGGGGTAAGTGATGGCTCAGAATTTTACCTGAAGAGTGTGTGCACTTAGAAACACATTGCTCTCAGTAGAGCTGAGGGAAGTTGGAGATTGGAAACATTAAAATACCACAGCAACGGCTGCTCTTGCAGTATTTATGATCAGAGTGAAAGCAGAATGAACCAGAAAGCTTCTGTTGGTGTCTCTTAACTCTTCTCACGAGGTTTCCCATCCTTCATCCTCGAGAGCCTGGGATAATTTGGATAGATTTCAACCACACACCTAAACTCCATGTGATTATCTGCACTGAACATCTGACCCCTTTTTGAGGTTCGGACATCTTTGGGCAAATGGAATCTAACAGAGATAACATCAGACTTTCTTTTTCATGCCTGAACTTCAAAAGTGCCTATTTTGGTTAATGAAGCTGTGGCATGCCCATGGGGCTCTCTGAGAGTGGCCAAGCCTGTCGCTAAGAATAGTGCTGGTTGCCAGCATGCTGCCCATTATTTGTTCACAGATCCATTGCTTCTATTCAGATAGAAATATTCTCCTTGCTTATGTTTCCTGGCTACCTCAGTGGGTGAATTTTAGCCCATGGTGGTGTTTGCAGACTCAAGATTCAGACCTTTTCAGTTACTTGTCCATCTGTATTTGTGCTGTGGAGTTTATGACCTCTCACAGAAAAAGCAGCTCCTCAGTTGCTGTTAAAGATTCCATCTCCAAAAGCCTCGATTAAGCTATCAGAAATTATCCTAGCTGAGGATTTAGATACTCAGTGGGGGTTTTTTATTCCCCAATTTAAATTGAATAAGTGAAACAGTTAAAGGAGAGTGATGAATGACCATTAGCGAGCAGTGAGAAATTGCTTTTATGATTCTTTCACATCCTTTGTTTGTCATGCCAAAGGTCCTAAAACTTTGCTGGATATTCTTATAAATCATCTCAATATTTGCAAAATGAAATTGCTTCTTGAATTACACCAAAGCAAATTCACTGGGATTGATGGGCCTTTGACCTACAAATTGCAGAGCTATTTATACCAGAGCAAAGTGGAGGTGAAATCAGACCTTCTTGATCTGGCAACAGTTTTGCCTCCACTTTGAGCTGATTTTACTGGAGGGAATACAATGTCTGAAGGGGGCCTACAAGGATGCTGGAGGGGGACTCTTCATCAGGGACTGGAGTGACAAGACTAGGGGTGATGGGTTCAAACTGAAACAGGGGAAGTTCAGGTTTGATCTAAGGAAGAAGTTCTTTACTGTGAGAGTGCTGAGGCACTGGAATGGGTTGCCCAGGGAAGCTGTGAATGCTCCATCCCTGGCAGTGTTCAAGGCCAGGTTGGACAGGTATGGGTGACATGGTCTAGTGTGAGGTGCCCCTGCCCATGGCAGGAGCTTGGAACTGAATGATCTTAAGGTCCTTTCCAACCCTAGCTAGTCTATGATTCTATGAAATGACCAGGCAAGATATTGTATGTTACATATCATTCAGTGGACCCTTGCCTCTGCCTGTGTGTGTCTGCTGTTGCAGTAGTGCCAATGGCTCAAAAGCCTCTGTACTCTGAGCAGATGGGGGTAAAAGGAAAACAGTTTGTCTTGGGGCATAGTTTTCTGCTTGCTTACACCACTGCAACTCACTGTAACCCTGCGGAGCCACTCTGGAGTAAAAGGGGTGAGACATGAGCATCCTTTCCTCGTGTCCCAGTGCTTGCAGATCCCTCACTACTGAGTGCATTGTCTAAACAGCTCAAGGACAGGACACGTGGCAGAGAGGAGGTGGAGGGAGCAAACAGACCGACTGACAGACACTGGGCTCCATAGACAGCCAGACAACAATTATAAATAGCACCCTTTTGAGGGCTGTTTGATGTGTTGCCCAAGGCCAGGTGGAAAATCTTTCCGTTGCTGCCTCTTCAACTAATCGCTTTCCCCTCATTTTTCAATAAAGATTCCAAGTTTGGTCACTTCTTTGGCACATTTGTTTCCCATTAGAATACTTTGTGCTATTTTGCTGTGTTATGCTAGATAATTGCTCTAATAACAAACCAAGGAAAAGCTTTTGAACCTTTTAGGAAGTAATTTTTTCCCTTCTGAAAATGCAGAGATCTGGGGAATAGCTGAGGAAAGTCAAAGGGAGAGAAAGGGGAAAAGGAATGTATTGACTTTTAGTGATGGTATTTCTGCACTTACAAGTGAACCCCATGCCAAAAATTTAATTGCAACCCAACTGAGTATTTCGATGGCGCTTTATCGTCTTCAAAGCTTTTATAGAAGTATTATTTAAGTGACCCCACAGTATCCTGCGATCAGGGACACAAGGTTATTGTCTTCTACTGCTGAAGCAAAGTCTTGTTGGAATGGCAAAAAGCAAAGACAGGAATTCAAGAGGTCCTGCCGTTGCTGAACTTCACCACTTGCCATATATTAAGGGCAAGAGTGTTTGAAGAGCCTCGGTAATAGTCTGAGGCAGAGTGAGTTTTAGCAGAGTAGCGCAGGGGAAAACAATTAGAACATGTTTAGTACTTTCAGTAAACTCCCCCTCTGTGTTTGCATACTGCCAAGATGCCTTTAAGAATTGACTGTGGTCAAGGGGATAGGGAGATAAATAATATAAACTGAGGAGAGGAGGCTTCAGGCTGATTTACTGAAGCCTCTTAGCGAAATTCTTTCCACTCATAATCTGAGAGAGGTGGAGCTCTTTGTCTGCGATGCATTTCCCATCTAACAGAAAAAGCTCCGAGTGCACTCAGTGCTCAAAATGAATCCTGGGGTAGAGGTGTTTGAGGGAAGAGAACTGTGGACAAGGGTGCAGGACACAGGCTGGCTGGGCCTGGCCTGCCATGAGGCACTGGCTGTGTTTGTGAGCTCTTTCTGCCGGCACTTGGAGCTTCGGTTCCCCTGTTCCACAAAGGAGGAGTGATGGCACTTTGCAGAGTGCTTTTAAACCTAGGCTTGAAAAACACTGTAAGAGCTGGGTTCAGAGCGCGTGGGTCCTCCCAGAACTAACCTCTGCTCTGGCCTTAAAGTGGGATTTTCACTTCTTTATTGTCTTCCTTCTTTCCGAGCCATCCTGATATTTGTGGTGGGAGGGGAGAGGAAATGAGTACAGCTTGGCAGAAGGTTCTTTTCTGAACTTGACCTCTGGATTTGCTGCAGATGGCCCAGCTCAGATGCCTCCTCTGTTGTGGTCCATACTGATTGCATAGCCTTAGGTGTGGCCTGTCTAGATTCTGGCTTTCCCTGTGAGTCGTGCTGGAGTCATCCTTCCACCGAGGCACTCGTGCTGAATCCCAAACACCAGCACTCTATTGCTTCTGCTGATCACATCACCACTGCTTTCCCCAGGGCTTTGTTGAGGTCTGGTTTTGCTTTGCCTCTCTCTGTTGGCATTGAGCTTTCCTTAGTACAGCAGCTGCTAGATTACGCACACTTGATCGTGGTCTGGTAGAAGAAAGAGGGAGAGGTAATAAAAGTCGTGTGTGTCTCCCTCTTTTCTTCCCCCCTCCTTTCTGGGAAGCTGCTTGGATGTTGCAGGGATGCATGGTAGGAGATGCACATGCTGAATGCGTGGGCAAAAGGGACACTAGAGGCTTTCAGCCACTTTGCTCTTCTGCAAATTCCTCTCTGTGCAACCTCTGCCTGAGCAGCTGACAGTGCTTTGCTGACAGCCCCAGAGAGTTAATGAACTAAAAGGGCTATGGGTTATCTATTCCCAGAGATTGGGGAGCGTGAATTAAATGGTCTTTTGGAAGATGGGAAATAATTATTCTTCTTCAAAGCCATGTCCAATTGAATGATGTCGCCAGCACGAATCAGCAATCACAATCACTGATGAAGACCCATTAAACAGATTGGGCTGAGTGATGCACAGCAAAAAATATCAGGAGCATCTTTAATTCTGAGTCTCTCAACCCTACAAAGTTGGATTTGTTTTCTTTCTTTTTAAAAGAAACTAAGTGCTTAGAGCTTTCCTATCTCAGCGCTTTAAAGCTGGAAATAGCTAGGAACGTATTTCTGCACCATCCCTTGTAGAAGGGCAAGGACTGGAGTAGCTCAGTTTCCTGGCTGTTGTCTGGAATATCTGAAGGGTATTGTTTAGAAGCCTTTTGGGAAAAGGTTTGGGCAAGATCAGGTGGGAGTTCCTCCACTTCCAGCCATGGGATACTGTTCTGTATGGCCCTTCCTTCCAGCAGTGCTGCGGCAGGGGTGAGCTTCCCCAGGGCCAGCACTTCTGTACACTTGAAGAGAAGGGTGAGTGTTGAGTGATCCTTACTGAAAGAAAGACACATTCTTCTGTAGTTCAGCTATTGCAAAAGTGACATAATGAAGTCAAACATTAGGCATGATCATTAGGGGAATTCATTAGAAATGCTTGGCTGTACAATGAATTCAGTTGGAAGTTCTGAACTAAACTCTTCAGTGTTATCAAAGGGAGGCAAATCTTAATGCAGTGGTTTGCTTTTTAACCATATGAGCTGAAACTTCAGGGGAGTTGTACCAAAAGGGAACCTTGCCACTTTGCTCATGTGCCAGAGAAACAGGTCAGTAGGTTGGGCACCAGGTAAATCGACTGGTTAAAGTCCAGCATCTTCTCCAGTGAACAGTGGGTTACACAGACAGTATAAGGAGACTGAGAAAGGCCCATATTTAGGAGGGAGCAGTCACTGTGATCAGACCCAGGGTCTACCTTGTCCACTAGCGTGGCTCTTGCTAGTTAGCTGTAGTATAATCTGCCTCTGTGTTGCACCTTATCTTAATCCCTAATGAGTCAAACTTGTCATATCACAACATTCACAAATACAGGAAGGAGCAGCGGCATGAGTGGTTTGCAGGGATGTAATGAAAGGCTGAATGTTGTCTTAGGGCTACACTACATAACAATCCCGGACTGGTTTTGAGGATGATGCTCTAGGTTATGTGAGGATGCTGAGGAGCGGTAGCAGCTCAGTCTGGAGCACCAGCAGCCTCTGACCCTCAGCACCTGGCTGGGTTTCAGCTGTCCAGACTTGGACAGCAGCAGTGTAGGTGTCTGCATCTGGGATAACTTCATTGGCTAGGAGGAAAAAGACATTTCTGAGGCAATTTATCTTAAAAGCACTGTCCAAACCAGGTCAGATAAGTATGGTCTTCTAGTTTCTTTTCTTTTATGGTAAAATGGAGATGGAAGACGTCTGACCTCTAATCTCAGTGCAGCATTCCAATTTTCATTTTCCTTCCCTCCTGCAGGTACCTGCAGACTTCCAACTGTCACAGAGCTGAAGACAAGGTTGAAAATGTGACCTGGGTGGCATTTGCCTGATTGTGCAGCCTGTCGACACAAAAGCTTCAACAAATGCAAACTGTTCCCCTTCCACTGAAGGTAACAGAGACGTGTATGGGAGCACCATGTAAGTTCTCCCTGGAACTTGGTTTTGCCAGAATCTATTTAGTCAAGAAACAAAACCCACTGATGACCCTTGTATCAGTGGATCAGCCTCTCAGATGTCCAGCTTAGTGTTGCTTCTGAGGTGCTGCAGGGTGGGCTCAGCAAAGGCTTCACAACAGCAATGTGTGTAATCTCTGATCAAAAACTCCCAGGAGGGCACAGAAATCATTGGGGGACTTTTATTCTGCATTGGCATACTCTAGTGCTGTTGATTGATATACCTGTTGGATCAAAGCTCCATTCTCCTCTATTGGATTTGATATATATTGGTAGTCCTGGTGTCCTCCACCCGGATGTGGGTACGTTCCAGCTCAATAGCAAGGGCGTTTGTACAAGCAGGATGGCAAACAATGCCTGCTTGTTTTGACTGTAGGTTGTTAAAATGCTACTTTGGAGCTTGTGTCATGATGTTGGAATGTGAATTCAGTATGAAAGACACAGAAGTGTTTTAAAGAGGTATCATGCAGGTCCCTGCTCTGCTGCACGAGGATGAGTGAAGGGCTGCAGGGCATTGCGCTCATGCTCCGTCTGAGCACTGCAGAAACAGAGGTCTTTCACCCTCTCTTTGTAGGCTTTGTTTTCTAAAGGTTTTTATCATTTCTTTTGCTCCCTTGTGGGGTTTATCCACTTTCCTCTACCTTTCCACTGAAAAGCTGTATCTGAAACCTGAATGCTATGGTTAGCTAGGGAATCACTTGTGCCAGAAAGAAATCCTACCATGACCTCCATTGAGTATGATGCTCCTGATAATATACTGTGAGAGTCTGTAAGAATCAGACAAAAGCCAGAGGGTTAAAACCGAATTCCCAGGAAAAAGCTCTTTTGAGGGCAGTTGAATCCAAAGGAACCTCTTCTGCCTCTGAGAACTGAAATGCCAGCTGGCGGTTGGAGGAGCATCCTGCAGTAGAAACACTGTGTGCTTGTCCTGCCCTGAAAGTCTTTCCTAGACATTGGCCTGCCCAGAAATAACTTTTCATATGATTTGAGAAATAAAGGGGACAGAGACACTAAGGAACAAGTGCCTGGTTTACTGCTGGTATGTTGGGCAGCAGCTTTGTCCTGTGGCCTTCCTACAGTGAGGAACCATTGAGGGCTTGGACAAATATGTCCACCATTCATACTGGAGAGCTGTGTGTAGCTGGGCTAACATTCAGTCAATAGGGTGCGTTCATACTATAGTTGGATGGAAGTTTGGAGATGCTGGGAAATTGCCTTGTGCCAGATTGGAGTGAAAATCCTGAAAAATGCTGACAGAGGAAAGGGGAAAAATGTGGAATTGTGCTTGGGTGGGAAGTTCTGGTTTGGCCTCTCTGGGAAAGGCTGAGAAATAGAAAATAATCAGAACTAAACAATTCAAACTGGAATTAAACTGCATCGAAAGTTCTTTTGAACAGAAAGGAATGGCTTCAGTGAGTGTTCAAGCAGCATTTTTTGATTAGTTCAGACTTTCCCCCCCCTCCCAATCTTTTCCCTGTTTTCCCTCCTCCTCCATGGCTCTGGCAATGTGATGCCACCAAACCATTCCTAGAAAAAAGGGTTTGGTTTGGATGACTCCAAGTTTTTCAACAACATGGTATTTTGTGAGAACATTCCCCGCTGCTTCTGCTCATCAATAAAGTTGATGAGTTTAACCAGGCTCATGGCTGGCTAGGGAAAAAAAGCTCCCCCAGTTCAAGAAGTGGATAAATAACTTGGCACAAAGTCCTTCTCTGTTGACTCAGTTTACTTTGTGGACCCGGGCATGACTGTCATAATAAATTAAAGCATGAACATTCCCATTTGTCACTTCACCACTTCCTTTTGCTGCCTTCCAACATGTGGTAAAACCATTAGTTTTAACACAGAGAGAAAAGGCCAGATGAGGGGAGGAAAATAATGCTGGAATTAAGGGGAGAGAGGAGAAAGGGGACGTGAAGTGAAGGCAACACTGAAGCAGCAGTTGCATATTTACAGGGGCATAGTTAAAGTCATTTGGGTTTAGCAGCTTTCTCTGGAGGAAAAAAGGTGATGATTCTTCTTGGAGTCACTAATAACCTATGGGCCTAAAACCTACGGGTAGAGAAAGGCTCCTCTTAGTCCCCCGGTTTTAGTTAGTTATGCACTGAACTGCTTATATGTAAGATGTTCCTTGCTCTCTCTTCAGTTCTACACAGCATCTCTTCACTGCTCCTTGCCATCATCTGGAGCAATTTCCTAAAGCTAAAGGAGGATGTGTTCAGATCAGGCCCCTTGTTGACAAGGTGTGAACAGATTAATGGCTGTCCCATCCCACCTGGCTTCACAGGAGTAGACTCAACCTGAGCGGGCTTTCCAGGAATCCCCTGCTGAACCTGATCCCCTGCAGAAACAGAGGCCTTCAGCTTTGAACAAGAGCAGAGGTCAAATTCAGACACAGAGAGGGTGGGTCTGTGGATGTATGTGTGATGGGAAGCTCAGAAGAATGTAAGTTTGGGATGTGAAAGCATCACACTCCTGAATTATGATTATTTATTGTCATGATAGTGCCTGGAGGCCCCAGCCTCATTGTGCTAAGGACTCCACAGACACATAAAGAAGAGACAGTCCCTGCTCTGAAGATGAATGAGGAAAACCCCCGATGGGGCTGGGAACAGCTGTGGCATATATCCATCAAGCTGATGGAGCATGTTTACAAGGTGGGTATGTGAGCCTATGCGAGTGTAAGAGAGACAGCAAGAGAAGGAGAAAGCTGGATGTCAGTTTTCATCTCCCTGGCTCTAAAGAAGGGGTTTTACTTTTATTACTATTATTTTTATTCTCACCTCTCTCCTCCAGTACTGATTATCCACAGGTAAGATAAGAATTAACAGAAAAGTTTTAGTGATATTTGCTATAAATCTGGATGCTGAAAGATGTGATTCAGTAAATTCAGTCTGTATCTTTAAGCAAGTCACTTTTGCTTAGACTTTTTAAAGGCAATTTGTTACCTACCCCCCATAATGTCTCTTCAGAAACATAGCTCTTTTATCTTTTAGTGCTTTAGCTTTACCAAGTCTAAGTGTGTAAGAATGAAATGAATAAAGAAATCAGTTTTTGCATGAGCAGTGTATTTAATGAAGCCTGGTTTTCCCATGGACTTGTATCTATGATTCTATGATCTCTGTCCTTGCTGTGCCCTCACCACACTGGTGCTGAGCAACATAGAAAACTTATTGTTTGGAGCTTTGGGGTAGGGACCTGCTGCTCGTGCCAGAGGAGCTGTGGAGTTTTAGTGCCTTCCCTTCACTTGGAAAACTCATTTGAAATCCCTGTCCCTTGGTCAGATTTGCCCAGGATTGGACCCTGGGCCCAAAAGCTATGTGATTAGGAGGGAAATAAGCAAATGCACTGGCAACACTACCATAGACAATGTGATTTTGGCGGAGGGGGATTTGGTCACCTACTTGTAGCAACCTCCTAGAAACCTAGTAGTAAGAATTGCTAAGAATTGAGGAGTGCTGTGCTTGGTAAGGGTTAATGAAATATCTGCTCTGAAGCTCCTAGAAGAGAGGGGAACAGAGCATTCTGCACATCAGTGGGACATGGTGGTTCTTGAGTACTCTGGGGAGAAAAAAGAGCAGGAGAGGGAGGTATAAATTCTTTCTTTTAGTTCTTAGAACAATCACCAACAAGAAGGAACTTAGCTATTCTTAGTAGCATCTAGGGGCTAGGCATAATCTTTCCTGCTGAATTATGGAATATGATAGCTTTTATTAAATCCATTACAATTACAGCCTCTCTGTTGCACAGGTTTAGAATATGGAATAAGTAGGGTGCATAATTTCAAATAAATATTTAAGGTTTTGATGCGTGATATGGTTTTAGACTCTTAGGAAATAGAATTATATTTAGTTAGAGCAGTTTTCATTCACACAAACTTTCCTCTCCTGATACTTTGTGGGTCTGGATAGTTTTCTTTGAAGAAGTCTTCATAATGGGCAAAAGATTGTGGCTGCTCCAGGTTTGCCTAAGGTTTTATCTGTGTTGGTGCCTTGGGTCTTCTCTAAAGTAGATGGGTACAGGAAGTCAGAATTTATTTGAAGGTCAGAACTAATCTTAGGATTGCATGAAACTGGAAAAAATGTTAAGAAAAATTGTGTCCAAAACTGAGGAAATTTGGACAAATTATTCCAGAATTTGGATTGTGTCTCTTTGCAGGGGCACAGGAGCAATAGGGAACAGGCAATGTGCACACGGTGGCTGCTCTGGATCCTCAGCTCGCTGCTGCTGTTGGGTTCTACTACATGGTCATGGACGTCCTCCCCTGCATTGCTGCCAGCAGCAGTCATCTTAGGTGAGTGTGAAAGGGTCAGCTAGATGAGTGCCTTAGCACAGGTAAGTGGGAGCTCCTTTCCTTGGCTTTGCTTCATCCCTACCTGGGTAGATGTCTCCAGCCATGTAAGAGATGATGCCCCCTAAGCAGCCCTGGGCTGAACCTGTCTGTGTGTTGCTAACAGCTTCTTGCTGATAGCTTGACTGTTGAAGCTGACAGCTCATAGCTGGCTACTCACCAGCTCCTGAGTAGTCTCATTTCAGTGCCTCACTGAGACTTACTCGTGGGAGTGCCATTGGCATGGGAGGTTACAAGCATGCTGCTCCTAGCCTTGGGGTAGTTGCTTCACAAAACCCACTAGTAACAGGAATACTTGATCCCTAAAGGAGCAAGGACAATGAGGGCAGTGTCAGAGAGTCCTGGAGGAAACAGGCAGGGACAGTTCACCATTTTCCTTGCCCAGACAATGGACAGTGCAGCTCTTGGAAGAGCAGCTAAACCTCTTTGTGAAGCAGGTATGGAAATCTCTGAGCATGAGACCAAGAGGGGAAACCCCCTCTGGAGGATTCTGTATTCTTCCTTTGTCTTCCCCACACCTGCTCCCTTTCGTCTTCCGTTCTCCCCACCCACCCTTCAAGAAGATGCTCTAGGTGTTGGCTTGGACTTGGCTGCCAATACTCTGAGGAGATGTGTTAATGATGACTGGCAGCTTTTAAAAGCACTGTTTCAACACCTTGCTGTCACCACACCTCATACTTCAGCAGCTTAGCACATGTTCCAAGGTGTTTAAAGAGCTTCCTGTGCAGTCCTTTTCCAGGCACTAACCTCTTGCCAGGAGCAGTAGCAGCTCCTGACCGCACTTTTCTGGCTGCGACCTTGTTAGTATTTGCCTACGACATGTAAATGAGCAGCGCAGTCGTTAGCTACTGAAATGTGTAATGTTTTCCATTGTGTGGAAGGCTTAGAGCTGACAAGACCAGAGCTTGTGTTCCAAAGTCTAAAGCAGTTGGCAGGTTTCTCAGTACCAGTTTTTTATGCCCCCAAGTGGGTTACGGAGCGGAAAAGGGGGTGGAGAAGAAAGGAGAGGGAGGAATGTGTGCGGATGTATGGTGGGGGGAGAGTTAGCGGGAGAGAAGGGCCATTTGCAAGCCACCAGCTTTGAATGTAACTCACATGGGCCTTGTGGTGGTGCTGAAGGGCCTGTTGTGCTCGTTTGATTGACTCTGGGCTTGATGCTGCTTGCCACTTACCAGCACTTGTCTTTGCTCATTAGCAGGGGGATTGTGGGCAAATATTTAGATATTCAAGAGAGGAAATGTTAATCTTTGCAGTGTTCACTGAATATTTAAATGAGGCAGCAGGCAGTTTTGCTCTGTGTTTGACCTAGACTTACAATGCTGAGCAAACTCTTGAGTCTTGGGGTGAATTAATAGCCTTGCACCTCCTTAATATTAGGGTTCAGGTCATGCAGTGAAGTTCACACCTCCACAGAAGGCAGTGCAATCAGTCCAAGCCAAGCCCTACTGAATATAAATGGAGAAGCTTTGGTCTGCGCCACAAGTGCAACCCTCATGAAGTGAGAATGATATTGGCTGTGTTGTAGACCCTCTGGTCTGGGTGTAGGAGATGGTCTTGCTGCGAAAGTTGAAGATAATGATGACTGGTGGTTGCTGGTAGACTGGGCTCTTAGGGTGCTCCTTTTGGTAGAAGATGAGAAAAATACAGTAATTCCTCTTGAGGTTTGGACAGATGGATCTTCCAAGCTGAAGTATAAATTAGGAACTTAATGTGTTTAGAGGTGAACGTGGTATTTGTGCTGGTGCTCCGATGACCCCCTTGTTGAGCTGGTGGATGATGGATAGAGTGCCTGTCTGCCTGGAGTGTAAAATAGGCTCAGGTGGGGTCAGTCTGCACTGACAAACTCGAAGCATGTAACGAGAAATGTCTTGCATTGCATGTTATTACCCAAAAGCTTTCTCTAAATGTACTTAGTTTGAGTTTAGGTCCCTTTTCCTTGCTACCTCCTAGGATTATTGTAGGCAACAAACATGGAAGCAGCAAAAGATGATTTGAAAATGTAGGAGGTGAATATTGAATTAGCAGGTCCTGATATCTGCACATGAATCTTGATTATTTTGTATCAGGATCAGATTAGGAATACTCTGTATATCCTGTTTGAATTTTGCATATTTAATATCCACATAAGTTCCTTAGGGAAAAGCACTAGACAAGGAATTACTGATGGGAATAATATTGTTGGATAAGGTTAAAAGACAAATTTATCTGTATATATCACAACAGATGAAGGGCCAAGAGGATTGAATCTGTTGGCTGCTTATTTAATCCATGTTTTAAGGGAGTGTATCCTCAAATAAACATGGTACTAACTTTAACAAGGTAAAGGAGTAGGTTGGTTCAAGCCAGATCCTGCCAGGTGCTGAGCATCTACCCTGACCCTGTTGCGTTTCTATGGATCAGAACCTTTATGGTTAAGGCGATTCGGTTAACCTGAAATTATTCTCTTTTCATTTGATTAATTTGCAGCAGAATCACCTGAGAAATGATTTGCTTGTTCCTAAGTACAGTCGCTGGCTACATCCTGACAGGATGAAGTGAAAAACATTTATATGGATTTTATTATTGATGGAGTTCCTAAACACAGTTTCTTTATGTTTTCTGTCTCTCGTATTCCAGTAGCTGCTAGTCAATTAAATATTTCTCCAGTAAATTTGAGGCTTAGAGAATCCCTTGGGAGTTGTAGAACCCCTTTTAGTGGGAAGTAAAAGCTGGTTACTATAGGTTTAGGCACATCTGACAGTTCCACCCCGCGTGCGGTGCCTCCGTTTGCCGCTGTGCCCTCCTACCTGGGATCTTTTCCTGGTTTTCCTTTGGTGTTTTTCCTTTTTGCCTTTATTTGTCTTTTTCTTCACATCACATTGCTGCTTTGGGGAATTCTGTGAGGCCAGCTTGTTCTTGGTCCGCTCTCCACTTGACCTTCACTCAAGGCAGGGGGTCAGCAATGCAAACCCTGGCTCCACACCGCAGGAGCCAGCTATCCACTGGCAATACAAAGCAGCTGATACATTCACTGAAGCCAACTTGTGAGGCAAGAGATAGCAGTGACTTTAGTCACAGCCACAGCAACAGCTTTTAATCATGGCTCTGGGTTCCAGTTGGCAAGCTGGTGGTGATAGGCACAAGATCCCGTGTTTGTATCAGCTGGTTTCACTAGTCTTGCCTTTTTTAGAGCGTCAGTGCCAGATTGGCAGAGCTTTTCAACGTGTGCAGTAAATGGCTGCATGACTTTAGTTTTTAAAATGCCCTCTCTGAGTCTGCTCCTCATTGTCAGACGTTTTTGTTGCTCTTCTTCCTGACTAAGCCTGGCATTGTGTGCAGAAAACCCTGGCTCGTAGCTCTCTGCAGATATAGGGCACTTGCCGCTCTAGGGAGTAACACAGTAATGGGAGAGCATCAGAGAGTCTCCTGCACTTAGATTTGTCAGCTGCACTCGAGTGCATCACACCCAGCAGAGTAAAATTCCTGGTACCACTTCTTCCACTGATACTCCCTTGTCAGAGCTTCTCCTCCTTCTCCGTTACCTCTGCCTGGAGCCCAGCATCGGGAGCGGTGGGAATGGGGAGCAATGTTAAAATGAATCCAGAAGAGCCTAACAGCAAACTAATTCCCATCTGTAGAGTGCAGACCCTTTGCAGGAGGCACCCCCATCTTTGCACTATCTGAGGGTTGTTCTTCAGTTGCTCTTTTAAGCCGTCTGATTTTGAAATGATGTTAGGTGTAGGAAAACAAAAGCATGTTTAACTGGGGCTGGTGCCAAAGGCGCAGTGTAATAGATCTCTAGGTGGAAACAGTCTCCATGTCTCCATCCATCACCTCTTCCTCTGGAGCTTCTGTCTTGGCAGGTATCTGCAGGATAGATGGCAAACTGTAGTGGCTTTTGCTCAAAGAAGCTCGAAAGCAGCATCAGTAATCCTGATAACAGGGCAAGTCAGAGGGCTGCAGGATTTCATAAAGAAAGGCTAACAGGGATTTGAACTTAAACCTTGTACCTCTTTTCTACTCTTTTCCCTACAGCTTAAGGTGTGTGTTCCAGTTGCTGGAGCCAGGCTGAAAAGCTCAGTTCAAACACAGCTGGGCCTCCACCCATTCATGGGGCAGACCACGGGAGCATTCATCACTGTCAGTGTCATTCTGCCTGCGATGGTTCAAAGGTAACAGTCATTTTCTATCAGGTTTTAGAAGCTGGTGTGAAACAGAGCCACAGATTTCATTCCTGACACCTAAAGAAGCTTCTCTGTGTCACCGTTGTTGATTTGGATGGGCAGTAACACGCACTAGGACAGGCTCAACAGAAGGGGCAGTGCCGCTTTGGCTTGAAGAGGCAGGGATGTATTCTGTGCTGGTGCAGCTACTCTCTTCATAAATGAATTTACACCATGTAGAATAGAAGCAATTCCTTATGCTCTCTTCATGCCTCTCTGATGACCTCCCAGAACGAGTTATTATGCTGACTTTTACATAGCAGTGGAAGGCGGCTCCTGTCCCCAGGCTTGTTCCTCCCTTGTTCTTTCACTGCATTATGCTGTTGTTGGTTCATTGATTTTTTGCTTTTGTTGTTGTTGCTTTGGGTTTGTTATTCTGCAAAGAAGAAAACTGTAATAATTAAACCCCAAACCTTCCCTTCATGCCCAACCAAACCCAGAACCCAGAGAGCAAGCAGGCAGGGTGTGATTCCTGATGGCATGTGGCAGGAGGAAAATATTCAATTCATTGTCCAGTGAGAGCCCTTGTGAACTTGAAAGGGACGTTGTCGAGTAATTTGATTTTCCCACAAAGTGTTGCAACCTATTGAGGAGAGTATCTCTTTGGTGTGGTAGATGCCAAGCTCCAGAAAGGAAAATGCTACTGAAGCAGTGCCAGCTGGCTGCTATCCCAAACTCCATTTCCAAAGCCAAGGTAATGGCATCAGCAAGGCTGGCATGAAAGTGGAAACA